GATATGTGTTTTACTCCTTTAAAAAGTCTCATTAAGGAGCCCTTACCCCCACCCCAAGTCACATCCATAGCTCTGTAGTACTAAACATGTTCCAACATATGTGTATGCCAAAATCAGAATCATATCCTTTTCTGAAAGTCTGTGTCCTGTACCATATAACTGCTGCTCACAACTTTCTGTCTGACGTACTGACAGTCATTTCTTATTTAGATTTTATCACGGTGTGTCACATTGTCGACTTTTTCTCATATTCGCCATCTCTTCCCCTCTAATATTCCCGTCGCAAGGACGGGCAGCTTCCTATATCTCATTACGTGGTCGATGAAGATCGACTGTCTAATTCTGGTGCATGCAAGTGTTCTTTCTTAACGTGCGTTTTTATTGTTACATACAAATACGACATTTTATTGTTACATACATATCCGACGTTTTTATTGTTACATACATATACGACGTTTTTATTGTTACATACAAATACGACATTTTATTGTTACATACATATCCGACGTTTTTATTGTTACATACATATACGACGTTTTTATTGTTACATACAAATACGACATTTTATTGTTACATACATATCCGACGTTTTTATTGTTACATACATATACGACGTTTTTATTGTTACATACAAATACGACATTTTATTGTTACATACATATCCGACGTTTTTATTGTTACATACATATACGACGTTTTTATTGTTACATACATATACGACGTTTTTATTGTTACATACATATACGACGTTTTTATTGTTACATACAAATACGACATATTATTGTTACATACATATCCGACGTTTTTATTGTTACATACATATACGACGTTTTTATTGTTACATACATATACGACGTTTTTATTGTTACATACATATACGACGTTTTTATTGTTACATACAAATACGACATTTTATTGTTACTTACATATCCGACGTTTTTATTGTTACATACATATACGACGTTTTTATTGTTACATACATATACGACGTTTTTATTGTTACATACATATACGACGTTTTTATTGTTACATACATATACGACGTTTTTATTGTTACATACATATACGACGTTTTTATTGTTACATACATATACGACGTTTTTATTGTTACATACATATACGACGTTTTTATTGTTACATACATATACGACGTTTTTATTGTTACATACATATACGACGTTTTTATTGTTACATACAAATACGACATTTTATTGTTACATACAAATACGACATTTTATTGTTACATACATATTCGACGTTTTTATTGTTACATACATATACGACGTTTTTATTGTTACATACATATACGACGTTTTTATTGTTACATACATATACGACGTTTTTATTGTTACATACAAATACGACATTTTATTGTTACATACATATCCGACGTTTTTATTGTTACATACATATCCGACGTTTTTATTGTTACATACATATACGACGTTTTTATTGTTACATACATATACGACGTTTTTATTGTTACATTCATATACGACGTTTTTATTGTTACATACATATACGACGTTTTTATTGTTACATACATATACGACGTTTTATTGTTACATACATATACGACGTTTTTATTGTTACATACATATACGACGTTTTTATTGTTACATACAAATACGACATTTTATTGTTACATACATATCCGACGTTTTTATTGTTACATACATATACGACGTTTTTATTGTTACATACATATACGACGTTTTTATTGTTACATACATATACGACGTTTTTATTGTTACACACAAATACTACATTTTATTGTTACATACATATCCGACGTTTTTATTGTTACATACATATCCGACGTTTTTATTGTTACATACATATACGACGTTTTTATTGTTACATACATATACGACGTTTTTATTGTTACATACATATACGACGTTTTTATTGTTACATACATATACGACGTTTTTATTGTTACATACATATACGACGTTTTTATTGTTACATACATATACGACGTTTTTATTGTTACATACAAATACGACATTTTATTGTTACATACATATCCGACGTTTTTATTGTTACATACATATACGACGTTTTTATTGTTACATACATATACGACGTTTTTATTGTTACATTCATATACGACGTTTTTATTGTTACATACATATACGACGTTTTTATTGTTACATACATATACGACGTTTTTATTGTTACATACATATACAAAGTTTTTATTGTTACATACATATACGACGTTTTTATTGTTACATACATATACGACGTTTTTATTGTTACATACATATACGACGTTTTTATTGTTACATACAAATACGACATTTTATTGTTACATACATATCCGACGTTTTTATTGTTACATACATATACGACGTTTTTATTGTTACATATATATACGACGTTATTATTTGTGAGTCAGTTAAGGGGTCACTACACCCAACAAAGTTTTTTTTTATTTACAGACTTAGAGCAGTTATTTTATAATGGTCGTTTGTAGGGATACATGTTATTACATTTGTATACTTTAAGTGTTAAAAAATCATAGTTGTCATGGCAATAGCCGCCATCTTGTGAAAAAAACAAATGTACTTAGAATCCTAAAATTTTAAAAACAAAGATAGGTATTCAACAATAGATGATAGATCCATAATCTGTTATACTATTTAGAGGTACAGGTCTACTTTATTTACTTTAAACATGTTTCTAAATATTTTTCGTAGAATTTTAAAATGTAGGTTTATTGAAAAATTAAAAAAAAAATCGAGCATCATGAGACAATAATTAAATTTTAGAAACAAAAACTTTCTAAAATCTACTTTTAGATAGACCAGTCCCTATAATATTGTTCATGGAGTAGGCGTACAAAATGTCGTGTTTCTACTCTTTATATTAGCTTAGATTTTAGGATTTCACACACACAGCAAACTGAAATATAGAGATTTGAGAAAACTGACTTTTAAACTTTTTTTTAATCTTAAAAAAGTGCACGAGGTGGTGTCGTTAGTATTAACTTTTCAATGCTAAATTGTTTACAAATGACATACATTTTGTGTGTAATCTATTCTACGAATGCCGAACTTTACAAAAACGAACACATTGAAAAAGTGATATTTTTGTCATAAATTGGGAAAAATGCCGTGTAGTGACCCCTAAATTAAATTTTTCCTATTTGAAGTGCATGTTGGGTAGCGACCTATCTGGTTAACATGGCAGTGAACAGATCTTATTTTTTAGGAAAGATAGCTGTTCCGTATATGGCACACAAATTTATGTCCAGTGTGTACAGACTTCGAGAAGATTTATATATATATATATATATTCTTATAAGAAAGTAATACTATGGAATGCAGCTTTTTTTTTTTTTTTAAAGCACATTTACTACTGTTATCATCATCACAACCTCTACTACTACTACTACTACTACTACTACTACTATTACTACTACTACTACTACTACTACTACTACTACTACTACTACTACTACTACTACTACTACTACTACTACTACTACTACTACTACTACTACTACTGCTGCTCCTGCTCCTGCTGCCGCTGCAGCTATTACTACTTATACTGGTGAGGCTGCTACTACCTCTGTCTACATCTGTGTGTGTGTGTTTTTGCAGGTCCCTGGTATCGAATCAACATCGCTTCCTCTACCATCTGATGTTATGTTATGTTATGTTATGACAATCGACATCACTGCACATTGGGCATTCCCATACGTGCTCAGTCCTCTGATGCAGCAGCCACTCCAAAGTACTGCAGCTGTAGTACGTTTGGAAGCCTGAGCATTCAGAGCTTCCTCGGTATTCAGCCGGGTCTCATGAAGTGCGATTACATTAGCATCATATATCAGTTATCCAAGACTGGGCCTCTCTGTCGAAAGCTTCTGCAATTCCAGCATAGAAGGCGGAGACTGATCTTGCTAAGGCGCTCTGATTTAGATTGGTTTTTACGTGCACCAGCAGGTCTATTACGTCGTCTTCTACTATATTGTCCTCTTCTCATTCTGTACCTTGTAGATGCTGCTGCATCTGATCTCAGCACGGACGCACAAACTCCGCGGCTCCGGCGAGGATCGAGTTTATAAAATTTGTCTACCATATTTAGTTAAAACAGTAGTACAATCTGATACTTTTATGAAGTCGTTGTTACTTGTAGAGGAGCGGCGAATGGCCGAAAGGTTAAGAACGCCGGTCTCTCATGTGAGAGACCGTTGTTCAAAACTTCAGTAAGGTTATGGGTTTTCCTCTTCTCCTTACCTGCACAGTCCGTGGCGACAGCACTACTCCTTCTAAACCGCAAAACTGATAAATTCAGGCAGCAATGGCAATTTTTTTTTCTTTGGTGGAAGGGTGGGAGGTGTTACTTATGTTATACTGCTTAGAGGTTTCAGACTTCCACATGTATGTTAGCTGTTCTGTGTAAGTTAACTTTTCGCTGTCATCCATTGTTGTTTGCAAAGCTGTGAATTTTTTGTTCCTAACGATTTCAAGGAATGAGTAGATCCCAATAGCACTAGTCTTTTAACTGAGATAAAAGCAGTCAAGAAAAAAAACACACTTTTACATAAGTGCATTATTTCTACAACATTTATGTATACTATTCATAAAGCCGGGAGTCGCCGTGGTCGAGCGGCTAGACGCTAGTCGCGGATGGGAAGGTCGTGGGTTCGCTCCCTGGCGGAGCCGGACTTTGTTCAAAAAATGACCTTGGCTCCCAGGTCGACCCAGCCTTGAATGGGTACCTGGAAGTAAAGGTGGCCGGCGTGATGCTGACCACATCACTCATCGTGTGCCCTTGTCTATAAAAATATATAGGTCTAGCCCTATATGCCCTATACGCCTAACGGCGCGGAAAAGGGTTCTTTACTTATACTTTACGTACTTATTCATAAAACCAGGAAACAAATATTAAAACGTGTGAAGATTATTAACTGCATTGAAAGAACCACAAATATTGAAACTATCAGTATGGTAAAACAGACAACTGATGTTCTGTTCTGTTACAGAATGGCCGCTGGCGTGTCAGTCATGGAGATGATTCTCTGGCCACTGTTGCTGACTTTGCTGAACATCTACGTGACTTTACCCCACGCTAAAGCTGTAGCCTTCCCCACTTCCCCTTACCTCACCGTGGCTGATCCGTATTCCAACGTCACATGCCCTGCAGAATGTCGATGTTCTAAACTGAATGAGGTAAGTCACGCCCTTGTGTCATTTTACTATAGCAACACCTATAAATGTTTAGTTTACGTTTTACCGAATTAATCACATTTGATCTTATCTCAGAATATATATCTGCAAATCACTAGCCAGAATAGCAGACTTGGGAATTAAGATCGGCATAGCAAAAAACTAGACGCACACCAGACACGCCAGAAGACTTGTTAATCAACATAGAACTGGTGCTATTATTATTGGGGTTAATACTGAGGGAAGGATCTGAGCACCTATGGACATGTCCGGAGTGCAATGATGATATCCCAACGAACGAACTAACTAGCTAACTAACTAACTAACTAACTAACTAACTAACTAACTAACTAACTAACTAACTAACTAACTAACTAACTAACTAACTAATTTCTGCACATCTATACATAACTTACCAGCACATTACAGATTCATTACATCTACTCATTGTTCCGAAAATGACAGGTTACATTGCATCTACTTATCATCCCTCACAATACAAATTCCGTCCAACTATTTCTTTTCTTCACATTCTCTTGGCGTCTTCCATTTTGTTCCGTCACATCTGCTAGTCATGTTTGTACAAAGCATTCCTACTGTCCAGATTTTTGTCAAGTTACATTCTCATATTATAGGTCACACATAAAGTGAAATAAAAAATTTAAAGATCCTTTTTTTACGCCTTAGGCGCATAAGGCATATGAGAAGAGCACCCATATATTTACAGACCATTGGAATTAGGTGGGTAATGTGGTCAGCATTACGCCGGCCGTCTTTACTTCCCCAGGAAATCCATCCTGGTGTGCATTTTAGGCTGGGTCAATGGTCACACATAATATTTCAATTATTTATCCAGAAACATATTCCCATTATGTTCTACAATGTAGACAGTATTCCGAAAAGATCATTAGCCAAAGGAAAAAAAAATGAATTTACCGGGGAAAGCAAAGGTAATGGTCGTGAACTAAAAGTAGTGTTGCTTAAAACTATAAATATATGTGTGTGGCAAGGAGACACTTTGTCATTCTCACCGACTACGAAGCTGAATATCTTGGTAATCTTAGTTCCAGCTTCATAGCAAACGGGTCACCCCATAGTTGCTCTGCTCCTGTGCCAGCAAAAAAAAAAACACAGAATGTTCGTCACAGTCCCTTGTGGAAAGATCGACAGACTGCTGTCTCAGCATATGCACTAACATACACACGCATTAAAAGCATACGGTAGTCATCAGAAGTGCTAACACAAACAGTTTGACATTAGAAATGCAGTTCATCATCGACGGCAGCAGAAGTTACCAACACATCAGCAGTTGCACACGCGACCAATATTAATCACATAAGGCACCATCACTATTGCGGCGACAGTTCACTAGCTGAATATAAGGTCCACAAGTTACCAGCATAATTGCATTTTAATATAATCGTTACCTGTGTGAAAAGTCTTGGATTCTTTGCCAACATAAATGAAATAATTGACTCATTTGCCAACATAAAAATAATCAAATGGATTCTGACATAGAAGGTTGATTAACAAAGGACCCCGCCAATGACAAAGATGACCGAGTAGAACGGCTACATTTGCTGCATTTCTGTGACAGATTCACTAATGCGGAACATATGGAAAGAATACAATAAATAAAATGGAATCAAAAAGAAAGCAGTAGATACCTGTGACTGTTGGATACACGTTCACACAATTTACTGTACCCTTTCTTTTACATACACAAGGTTAAACATATTTATAAGAGACGTACAGATAAAGGGACACGAGAATCGTAGACAAAAATATAATATCTTGAGCAAAATAATGATGGTTGGAGGTGGGGGGGGGGGGGGATACAGGAGATGGCAACATTAAAATGACTTGGCCACACACACAAAAAAGAAAAAAAAAAGAAAAAACTTAACTGTAGAAAAAAATAAGGAGGAGGAGGAGGAGGAGGAAGAAGAAGAAGAAGAAGAAGAAGAAGAAGAAGAAGAAGAAGAAGAAGAAGAAGAAGAAGAAGAAGAAGAAGAAGAAGAAGAAGAAGAAGAAGAAGAAGAAAGAAGAAAAAGAAGAAGAAGAAGAAGAAGAAGAAGAAGAAGAAGAAGAAGAAGAAGAAAAAGAAATTGTATCCAGTTTATGAAATCACAACCAAATATCCCTCTGGTAGTTTCAATAACGACGCCAATGATCGTCCTTGATAACAAGTTTCTGTAATCGTTTCGTCCAATAGCAACAGCACACAGTAATTGGATGATTAAGCATCATCTACAGCACAGGTTCATGCTGGGTTCATTGGTATGTGGCAACAGTCCCTTGGCAGTCATGCAACAACTGTCATCCTCCGCAATCAACAGTATTGACCGTGAACAAACATGACATCTAGCAACTTCCCGCCATCAAAAACTGTACGGGATTCCACGAGCCTGGAACTAACTACGGCTTTTATCGGTGCCATTAACCTGCAGGTCTGAGTGCTAACATGCAGAAGTAACTGTGCTACGGTCAGCGGAGTCTAATAGTAGAGGTTACAGTGCGAACCAGTACACACATCCACCTCGCTGATCTTAGCTAGTAACACATCTTTTTCTTCATCTTTTTCTACAGCTTTCCTAGCCCTTGAGGTTCATTACTGCAGATATCACCCGCCCCCATTCATCTCTCTGGCTGGCCTTCTCTTTCCAGATAACACATAACGGTTCATCTCTCCTGGCCTTCTCTTTCCAGTTGGTAGTAACACATACGGTTCTCTCTGGCTGGCCTTCTTTTTCCAGTTGGTAGTAACACATACGTTCATCTCTCTGGCTGGCCTTCTCTTTCCAGTTGGTAGTAACACATACGGGAGTAAATTAACATTCTGTGCCTACTTGCTAAACAATATTCCTCCTTGTGGGTTCAAGTGCCCAATATGTCGTAAGAGGCGACTAATTAAGAGTTTGCTGAAATCGGATGTGCTGGGCCCAATGGTGCAGCCTAGCTGTAATCCACAACACAACTTTCCCACCACTCTTTTAACGTTGAATATAGAAGAAGAAGAAGAAGAAGAAGAAGAAGAAGAAGAAGAAGAAGAAGAAGAAGAAGAAGAAGAAGAAGAAGAAGAAGAAGAAGAAGAAGAAGAAGAAGAAGAAGAAGAAGAAGAAGAAGAAGAAGAAGAAGAAGAAAACGAAGAATAAGAAGAAGCAATTTATTGCAAAAGTATATTGTGTTTTAGCACGACGCTTTTGTTTCATCAGCTTGCATGGCTAAGCCAAATGTGCACAAGTATAACAGAAGCCGGTCTGTGCTTTCTGTTTCTATTTTTCTATATACTTCTCCCTTTTCATTTCTCATTTGGTTGACACTTCACGTTAACGTCTTAAATGCAAGTTGTAGTTAGCTTCGGGCTAAAGACATTTCCTTTGATAAATTTAATATAGCTTAATGTTTTTCAGCTTCACGCAGTAATAACAAAGCATTGCTGTCATTACTGTATTTTGAGACAATGCTTTTCCTCGTAATCAGTACAATTGAGGCGTTTTTCTTTTGCTGGTGCGTCGTGTCAAAAGACAATTGTCAGTCAGGTTACAACTTTTGTTGTAAAGAAAGCATACCAAAGCATCCACAGTAGATCAACAAGACTTGAAAATTGGCAGATGAAATTACCCAGATTATAAGAGAGAAAACTGGGGGTAATGGCGGACAAAATGTAAACATGTTTTAGAAATCGACAGTGGAAATTTACGAAATACAGCCAGACCTGATCAGGAGAACTCACCGGGACGCAAGAAATAGTTCTTCTTAGATTTCGAGCAAGAAAAACTGATAGGATAAACAAATTGTTCGTCACAACAAAAATTTGCCACATCGGAGATCATCTTAAGCGGCCTGCACTGTAATACCATTTCTAAAAGATAAGCCCGGAGTGGACAAATGGGATAGGCGTGACGATATCTGCCAGCCAGTCACACCCACGTAGTAGCGTAGGTTACATCATTAACGTTGAGTTTATTAGACTAACTGTTTCATAGAGTTCAACGGGAGCTTCTCGTAACTTCTCCAGTTGGATTCCTGTCCGACTCCTGCATCAACGAGCCTTCATTGTTCAGGCTGCAGTCCTAGAGGTGAAACAATCATAAAATAAAACGTGAGAGTATCGAGACATTAGAAGTAGTAATGATATTACTGGCCACGTTGATGTTGTTGGTTGCAATAGCAACAGTAGCCGGGCTTGCGTGTAACAGCTGCCATAGTAGCTGGCAATTTCTATTGCCAAAGAAAAATGTTTTTTTTTTAAAAACTTTTTATTATTAATTCTTGTTATTTTACAAATACGCACTTCGGTGAACGTCTCGAACATAGCGAAACGCTAGTTCGCTCAACCTGTGAAACCGATGTTCACGCAACACTTAGGTTCTGGAACAGGACTAGAGTTTAGAAGTGGACGAACGACCAGAACTTTCCGCCTAAGCTTACATCATGTGAACGCCAAGAAGAAGAAGACATGCGACCGTTTCCAGTGCAATTGTTACCTGCTAACACTTACACATGCCAGCTGATCACGCCTAGCCACTGAGTAGTTGTAATAGTTATTTTTGTATTTCTTGTAGCGGCAATAATAGTAGTTTTATAGCAGCATAAATATCTGTATAGTTAGTTTTAGTTGTAGTTATGGTGTTTTTCTTCGTGCTGGTAGTGATAATAATTGCATAGGAAGAGTACTATTAGTTGTTTTATAGTAGACAGCTGTCTCAACTACGGCTGTAGAAGTAACATTATTTCTTCTCACACTAGACAAGCGTCAGATGGATGCGGTTGATCAGCTGTTCTGTGAGCCACATCTCTCCACACCTGACCTCACTCCTCAACCAGATGCCCGGTCCGGTGACTGGTCACGTACACTTCACGTGCACCAACAACCCTGACACAGATGTCCCTCCCGAGTCCAAGTTGTGGGACGGAGCTTTCAAGAATCTGTACCAACTCAGGCTTCTCGTGTTTGATCGCTGCAAGTTCCGAATTCTGTCCAAGTATGTATATTGAAGATTTACATGAATGTCACAATAGATGGTAGAACAGGGCAATTCAACTAAGTTTACTTTGGGGTCAACATGTCCATGACCGACCCCATACAACTATTGGGATCTTTAGGCAACCATTCAGGCATTCGCGAACTGTAAAGGGATGCGTGTATCCATTAGTAATTTGTGAAATAGTAGCAGTAAATACCGACCCCATAAGTACACGACCGACCCCATAAGTACATGACCGACCCCATGAGTACATGATCAACCCCATAATTACTAAATGGCCCCATACTAACACTAAGGCCCTATATTTTTGCAAACGCCCTTACAAATTACTAATACATACACGCATCACTTTACAGTTCGTGAATGCCTGAATGGTTGCCTAAAGATCCCAATAGTTGTAACTGGGACTCAGATTTGTTCATTTACACCATCTGAGTATATTATTCATCATCATGTTAAAGGGGCTTTGCTGAACGTCGCTCTCATCACAGTCTGCCTGAAAGAAACTTGGTCTCTTACCAGCTCTCCCGCCTGATGCAATTTCATATCCAAGGAGTCACTTATATCCTGTGCCCATCTTCATAGTCGGCCCCTGCCCCTCCTTTCTCATACCGTGTCTTCGGCTATTATTTTTTCAAACAGCCATCGTGCTTTATCTTAAAGTCCATGCCGCGTGGCGTTGTTTGTCATGTCTATACACAATCTTCTCTCTCGTGTACTTTCAGTCAACTCTGAAATAGATGATCTTCCATTTCATGACGTCAGAATGTCTATCATCTTCTCTCTCTCCCCCCTCCTCTCTCTCTCTCTCTCTCTCTCTCTCTCTCTCTCTCGTGCGCGCGCGCTGAGATCAACGAGCCAGCATTCTGCATACATATAAACCAGACATACATACGGATGTGCGCTCAAAAGTCAAGTTCTAGATCAAGACTAAAGTCCAGAAGTGGATGAACAACCGGAACTTTCCGTGGGACATACCATCCGGTCTACGTGCAGAAGAAGAAGAAGAAGAAGAAGAAGAAGAAGAAGAAGAAGAAGAAGAAGAAGAAGAAGAAGAAGAAGAAGAAGAAGAAGAAGAAGAAGAAGAAGAAGAAGAAGAATATGTCATAACCAATCTATTCCTCTCTTTTGTTTAACTTAACCACTGTTCGTCATTCCAAACTACCCTAACCAACCCGTTATACCTTGTCTGCCGTGCCCTAATCTATCCAAATGACTGTCCTACTCTAATGAATCCTAACCGGTTTTACAATAAACCAATATATCGCAGCCAGTCTATTCAAATCTAATCCAAGAGAGTCGTCCCTAATCTAACTTACCATAATCAGCTTGTCCGGATAGAACCCATTCTAGTCAACAATAACCTAATCTGCCACGACCTAGACTTCCTTATTTCCTCTGATACTGAAGTCGGTCTGTATCTAGCTTGGCTAATAGATTGACTGTCTTTATTCCTAGTTATGTCATACCCATAACGCAATACTGGTTTTTGCAACTTCTTTACAATTTATCCCTCCTATCTCACTGTGTGTATATATATATATATATATATATATATATATATATATATATATATATATATATATATATATATATATAAAACTATGTATGGCTGTGAATCCTGGACAATCGGTAGACAGGCCAAACAATTTCTGGAGGCCTCAGAGATTTGGTTTTACAGAAGAAAGCTTAGAATACCTTGGACAGCCAAAAGGAGCAACCAAGAGGTTTTGAAAGAGGCGGGAGCCCGAAGACAACTTATCACAGACATCACAAGGAGACAGTCATCATTTTTCGGCCATGTTATGAGAAGAGGGAAAATAGAACATGTTGTGACCACTGGAAAGATCTGTGGAAGGAGGGATGGAGGAAGACAACGAGAAAAGATGCTTGACAGTCTTGTTGCATGGCATGGAGGTGTGTCGGCACACGAACTGATACATGCTGCAGGAGATCGTGGATTATGGAGAGGCATGATCGCCCACGCCAGTCGGCAAGGCATCTGATGATGATGCTGTGCCCTGTATTTGTGTTACTGTGTGCAAATAACTGTTTATCTTGTCTCTAGTCCCTATCGTATAGAATATTTAACTGTTTATGCACTGTCTATTCCATGTATCTCTGCATATTTAACTGTTTATGCACTGTCTATTCCATGTATCTCTGCACATTTAACTGTCAATGTTACTGTTCTCTCTTTATTGCTGTATATCTAACTCTGTAAGTAATGAACTCGCCCATTAGTACTGAACATTATTTGCTTAAAATGTTTCCTCCCTGTATTACTGCAAATTTAACTCACTGCAATATCTCCTTTGTGTTACCGTATATGTAATCTCACATGTCACTACGGAATCCTGTACTATGTATACGTAATCGTACATATAACCCCTCGCCCCCCCCCCTCCCGTCCCCCAACCCCAACCCCACCCCCTTTTTCCTGCAGTAGTATATCTACAGTCATCTAAAGAATTAAAAATCTCGTGTATGATTAATTATGTAATCAATTATGCCATTTTCCCATTCCTGAATTTCTAAGTAATCCTGTAGGTAATTCCCCCCTCTCCATCCACATTTGTACAAATGCAGTCTTCTACACAACAACCCGCCTCCAGTATTAAACCTATTTAAACTATTATTTTTGTTTTATATGATTAACCTATCCAGTCTAAACCTATTTATTGCTTTGTATCCTCTTCCCTTCGTCGAATGATTGTGTATTCTTCTATAAAGTGTTTATTCCTGTATAACTAATGTGCAGGCATTCATTCATGTAATATCCACCAGTGCAACACGTACTAGCTATAGTAAAAGTGCTAATATACCACACACACCGCTGACTTTCCCATTGTATTTTCTCCAGGCATGCATTCCGAGGTATGAGTTCTCTGACAGAGCTTCTCATCCGAGACGCGATCATTGACAACATTGACCCAGATCTACTGGTCTATCTACCTCAACTGGGCAGGCTAGAGATATCCAACAGTGCCATCACACACCTATTCCCACTGTGTACAGCTGCATCACTGACATTTTTAAACATTTCTGGAAATCGCTTGGCATCTCTGGGAGACTCTGTTTTAAACTGTCCTAACAGGCCCCTCTACAAACTAGAATCTTTGGTAGCTAACGACAACCTCCTCACAAATATCCCACCATGGCTTGACCAAAGTCTACCAAATCTGCATCATCTTAACCTAGCCAACAACTATATTTCTCAATTTCACCAGTCGCCATTTCAGAACTTACACCAACTGGAGGTCTTAGACATCAGCAACAACTCACTGACAAACCTTGGTGAATCATTATTTCTGGGTTCTTCAAATATTCTTAGATTAGACATGTCGAAAAATAAAGTGTCGACCTTCAGCCGAGGGCTGGTGGCAAATCTCTCTGCCTTGCAGCAGTTGGATATTAGTGGTATGGACTTGGACGACAAGGTCTGGTTGGAAATCTCAGAGCTTCGACAGTTGGTCCATCTAAACATGTCACACAATCAACTCACTGGCATAAGCACGTATGTGATGAGCCAGCTGACAAGGCTGAAGTACTGCTATCTGGACAACAATCGAATCAGCTCTATCCCTGCATCAGCTTTCAGCTCCCAGATACACATGGACACCTTAGATCTTTCATTTAATAAGATAGCCGACATGTCTCCCCTCGTTTTTGCAAACCAAGTATCTCTGAAACATCTGTACTTGCACCACAACCAACTAAGTGCTCTTGGATACGACAGCATTGCTCAGTTAGACCAGCTTCTCACAATAGACGTCAGCCATAACAGTCTGTCATTCCTGCCATCAGCAACACTCGAGGCCTTTGCCAGTGTCACTTACATTGACATGAGTTTCAACAATCTGTCAAACATTGATTCAAATCTATTTATTAAAACACTGCATGTTCTGTATTTGAACATCTCCCACAACAGCTTGACAGAAGCACCAGTTGTCAGTCAACTACTTCAGATGAGGTTGCTTGACATGAGCTACAACAGAATAGCACACCTCAACTCGTCACTGCTGTCAGAGCTTGGGTCACTGACTACACTTGTGCTTTCTCACAACCAAATCAGTAGTTTACCAGTCAGGCTATTGAAGGGTTGTGAGAACATACGAAGCATTGATCTGTCATACAACTTTATAAAATCACTAGATGACTCTTTATTCTCCAGCACAGTGGTCATCGAACATATAGATATGTCCTATAATCAAATCACTGACATCAGAACGGTCTTCAATGGACTCAAACACTTGGAAACACTTGATCTCTCCTACAACAGAATTGACAAAATTATGAGAGGCCAGTTTCCTCATTTTGTTAAACATCTCCATCTTCAAGGCAATCAAATCATGTTTATCACTGCTCACACTTTTAAATCTCTCAACAAACTGCAGATGGTTGACCTCAGTGAGAACAAACTCACCTCACTCAACAGAATGGATGTGGAAATTGCATTTAACATGGACATTGCTCCCATTTTTTACCTGCAGTCCAACCCTTTTGTCTGTGACTGCAGGCTCGGTTGGCTAAAGGATTGGACTCTAGGTAGACTGGACAACAGGACCCTTCCTGTGTTTCATTTGGATTCTGGATTAGGCTGTAGCAGCCCATTTTATGAGGAACTGAAAAGCTTGGAACAACTGTCCAGGTCAGACTTCCTGTGTAGTTACACCAGCTACTGTGAAGAGTCGTGCATGTGCTGTGATTATGCCTGTTACTGTAAGTACGCCTGTCCGGCCGCCTGTTTGTGTTACATTGGGGATGGATCTCTGCACTCTCACCACGTCAAGTGTAATTCTGCTGACCTAACAACCGTACCTGCAGAGTTGCCCGAGGGAGCCACAAACCTGAGACTGGATGGCAATCATATCTCGGTTCTTCACAGACATCAGTTTCTGGCGCTCAAACATGTGCAGGTTTTATACCTTAACAACAGCCAAATAACAGCAATAGAGAACAGCACGTTCAAGGGACTGAAGTCAGTTCAGGTGCTGTACTTACAGGACAACCTCCTGACAGCAGTTTACTCAGTCACATTTCAAGGTTTGGACAGCCTGCAAGAGTTATTCCTGCAGAACAATCAGATTTATTCGCTTGATATCCAATCGTTCCTACTTCCTTCAATCCTTCATCTAGTCAACCTGCAAGATAACTCTCTCAGTGCTATATCTTTTGAGGACTTAGAACATCTTGCAAATCGCACTCTTGATAACGGAGCAACCAGCAAGGTATACCTCAGTGGGAACCCGTGGAACTGTGAAGCTGATTTTGCCTGCAAGTTTCTATCTCTAGCCCAACAGAGCCCTGAGTTCATTGCAGACTTACCCTACATTGAATGTGCCCACATTGAAATCAACGGAAAGCCCCTTCACGCTCACCCAGAAAACACACTTCTATTGGATGTACAGCTAGAACTATGTGGTAGCAATCAAACAAGCTTGGCCAATGGCAGCTGGCTGAACTTGAAAGGGTCGTCATCAAAGAGTGAAACATATGCACTGATAGCAGCATGTCTAGTTGTCCTCTGCGGCATGTGTCTCCTAACTGTAGCTTATGTTAACAGACATCTTATCCAAGTGCTACTTTATGCCCGTTTTGGGGTGCGCGTGTTTAAGGCAACAAAACCATCTGAGGATTCAGACAGACCTTATGATGCATTTATTTCCTACAGTAACAAGGATGAAGACTTTGTAGTGCATCAACTAGCCCCTCGTTTAGAAAATGGTAAACAAAAATTCAGACTCTGTGTACATTACAGGGACTTCCCAGCTGGAGCATGCATAGCAGATACAATTGTCAGAAGTTTAGAAGCCAGTAAAAGAACTATCCTCGTAGTCTCCAATCACTTTCTGGATTCTGAGTGGTGCAGGTTTGAATTCCAAGCTGCCCACCAGCAAGTTCTCAGTAAGCGCTGTAACAGAGTCATTCTCATTCGTCTGCATAATTTAGATCCAGGGAAAGTGGATGATGACCTAAGGATGTACATGAAGACACGGACATACCTCAAATATGATGACCCATGGTTCTGGGAAAAACTCACATTCGTTATGCCGGACATTCGGCATAGAAAAGTATATATGCCTTCACAGTTGCCCAGTTCTAGAGAACTTGAATATATGGACCATGAAATGTGTCTTTCAGAGCCTCAACAAACTCAGCTGTATCCACGTTTCCATATTAATGGTAGTTGTAGTCAATGTGAAGTTATCCATAATGGTATGTATGAAATCCCAGTGTTCGACTCCCCTAGCACCCACTACCACCTGGCAAACAGTGTGGGTTGCAGTATTCACACCAACTCCGCCTACCACAACTCAGATGCTAGTGACTGTACTGCAGGCTACAACACAGGGTCTGGACATGGAAGTTGCTGCCATTATGAAGAGGTGGGTCCTGGCTCAGGTTCTCTTGAAAGCACCCCTAGAAAAGAAATAGGGACCCCACCACCTGTACCGTTAATACCCAAAGAGGGGTTTATTCCAAGACAGAAGCTAGTGCCATTTCAAGTTTAACGTTATGTGTGACACACATCTCTGTTGGTCCAAGCAGTTTACCAAAGAAGTGGATTGTCACTGCTGGCCAACAATTATTTGGCAACACACAAATAGGTGTGTATTCTATGCAACACAATATGCTGAGTTTAGCTGACATTCTGGCCAACACAAAGATGCAAATGCTCGTGTTTGACACTGGCAACTTACAGATCCACATTCGTCATTATTTTATGATATGAAGTTTTTAAAAGGGACAGGAATTTATTGTACGAGTGTAATTCAGTTGTTTAAATCTCAATTCCTTGAAGGGAGAATGTTTTGGCACATAATGCGATGTTCATATACTCTCTGGAAACGTTCCTGTACTGTACTGGTTACATGCAATTGAAGTTGCATTTATTTCGAATGGGTGGCGATGTTATGAGCACCAGAAATCACTCTTTAAGGGACCCAGTCGAATTTGCCTGCAGCGGTGGAATGTGTGTGCTTAAAGCGAAACACAATTACCTCAATGAGAAAAAAAAACGACAAATGCAAGAAGATGGAAAAGAAGAAGAAAACAAAACAATGAAGAAGCAAGAAAAAATGATATAATGTCTATATTAAGTGGGAATCAAAGGACACAAATAAATTAATGAAGTTCCAGTATTTGAGACCATGGTATGCACACACATTTTTTGATCCACCACACAAACCACCTTCACAGCACACTCAGTAATTTCCTTATTCATTAGAAAATATGGACATTCAATTTGTGGACCATCATTGATACCAACATGTCCATCTCAATAAATGTTTTTGTCTTCAAAAGAAAAAAGAACTTGATTTACCGGTAACAATGGAAATTGCACCATATGCTTGCTGAAACGTAATGTTTATAGAGCCTATTTCTAAAGCAAAATAAACAAATTCAAAGCAATTAAAATTCTGATGACACACAAACTTCAGCTCAAGAGTATGTTTAACCTTAGAGAACAGTAGCCATAATTTATTGACTATGTTAATCACTTCTGATAAAATTATACTATCCTGTAGAGATTACATCATTGAGTGAGCAGTCTACGATATTGAGAACCTATTAAAGCTACCATGTGCATGCAGCATCCATTAGGCAACTTTTATTCAACTTAAATTAGATGCTTCTCACAATTATAAAAGCAGAATGAATTTGTAATACAAGTATTAGTAAAGCAAGTTTCTCTTACAACAAAATAGGAGGATATGTTTCTGGCATAAACAATGCTAGGGTATATTCCTCACACAAACAATGCCACGATATATCCCTCACACAAACAGTGCCAGGATATATCCCTCACACAAACAGTGCCAGGATATATCCCTCACACAAACAGTGCCAGGATATATTCCTCACACAAACAATGCTGTGAAGTAATCCTCACAAAAACAATGCCAGACTATATTCCTCACACAAACAATGCCAGAATATATCCGTCACACAAACAATGACAGGATATATCCCTCACACAAACAGTGCCAGGATATATTCCTCACACAAACAATGCTGTGAAGTAATCCTCACAAAAACAATGCCAGACTATATTCCTCACACAAACAATGCCAGAATATATCCGTCACACAAACAATGACAGGATATATTCCTCACACAAACAATGACAGGATATGTTCCTCACACAAACAATGACAGGATATATTCCTCACACAAATAATGCCAGGATGTATTCCTCACACAAACAATGCCAGGATATATCAATCAGACAAATAATGCCAGGATATATCCCTAACACAAACAATGCCAGAATATATATGTCACACAAACAATGCCAGGATATATTCTTCACAAAAACAATGACAGGATATGTTCCTCACACAAACAATGACAGAATATGTTCCTCACACAAACAATGGCAGGATGTGTCCCTCACACAAACAATGCCAGAATATATCCCTCACACAAACAATGACAGGATATATCCCTCACACAAACAATGCTTTGATGTAATCCTCACACAAACAATGCCAGGATATATCCCTCACACAAACAATGACAGGATATGTCCCTAACACAATCAATGCTATGATGTAATCCTTCACACAAACAATGCTAGGATATATTCTTCACACAAACAATGACAGGATATGTTCCTCACACAAACAATGACAGGATATATCCCTCACACAAACAATGACAGGATATATCCCTCACACAAACATTGACAGGATATATCCCTCACACAAACAATGACAGGATATATCCCTCACACAAACAATGACAGGACAGATTCGTCACACAAACAATGACAGGATATATTCCTCACACAAACAATGACAGGATATATTCCTCACACAAACAATGACAGGATATATCCCTCACACAAACAATGACAGGATATATTCCTCACACAAATAATACCAGGATGTATTCCTCACACAAACAATGACAGGATATATTCCTCACACAAACAATGCCAGGATATATCAATTAGACAAATAATGCCAGGATATATCCCTAACACAAACAATGCCAGAATATATCCGTCACACAAACAATGCCAGGATATATTCTTCACACAAACAATGACAGAATATGTTCCTCACACAAACAATGACAGGATATATTCCTCACACAAATGATGCCAGGATGTATTCCTCACACAAATGATGCCAGGATGTATTCCTCACACAAACAATGCCAGGATATATCAATCAGACAAATAATGCCAGGATATATCCCTAACACAAACAATGCCAGAATATATCTGTCACACAAACAATGCCAGGATATATTATTCACAAAAACAATGACAGGATATGTTCCTCACACAAACAATGACAGAATATGTTCCTCACACAAACAATGACAGGATGTGTCCCTCACACAAACAATGCCAGAATATATCCCTCACACAAACAATGACAGGATATATCCCTCACACAAACAATGCTTTGATGTAATCCTCACACAAACAATGCCAGGATATATCCCTCACACAAACAATGACAGGATATATCCCTCACACAAACAATGCTTTGATGTAATCCTCACACAAACAATGCCAGGATATATCCCTCACACAAACAATGACAGGATATGTCCCTAACACAAACAATGCTATGATGTAATCCTTCACACAAACAATGCCAGGATATATTCTTCACACAAACAATGACAGGATATGTTCCTCACACAAACAATGACAGGATATATCCCTCACACAAACAATGACAGGATATATCCCTCACACAAACAATGACAGGATATATCCCTCACACAAACAATGACAGGATATATCCCTCACACAAACAGTGACAGGACAGATTCCTCACACAAACAATGACAGGATATATTCCTCACACAAACAATGACAGGATATATTCCTCACACAAACAATGACAGGATATATCCCTCACACAAACAATGACAGGATATATTCCTCACACAAATAATACCAGGATGTATTCCTCACACAAACAATGACAGGATATATTCCTCACACAAACAATGCCAGGATATATCAATTAAACAAATAATGCCAGGATATATCCCTAACACAAACAATGCCAGAATATATCCGTCACACAAACAATGCCAGGATATATTCTTCACACAAACAATGACAGAATATGTTCCTCACACAAACAATGACAGGATATATTCCTCACACAAATGATGCCAGGATGTATTCCTCACACAAATGATGCCAGGATGTATTCCTCACACAAACAATGCCAGGATATATCAATCAGACAAATAATGCCAGGATATATCCCTAACACAAACAATGCCAGAATATATCTGTCACACAAACAATGCCAGGATATATTCTTCACAAAAACAATGACAGGATTTGTTCCTCACACAAACAATGACAGAATATGTTCCTCACACAAACAATGACAGGATGTGTCCCTCACACAAACAATGCCAGAATATATCCCTCACACAAACAATGACAGGATATATCCCTCACACAAACAATGCTTTGATGTAATCCTCACACAAACAATGCCAGGATATATCCCTCACACAAACAATGACAGGATATGTCCCTAACACAAACAATGCTATGATGTAATCCTTCACACAAACAATGCCAGGATATATTCTTCACACAAACAATGACAGGATATGTTCCTCACACAAACAATGAAAGAATATGTTCCTCACACAAACAATGACAGGATGTGTCCCTCACACAAACAATGACAGGATATATCCCTCACACAAACAATGACAGGATATATCCCTCACACAAACAATGACAGGATATATCCCTCACACAAACAATGACAGGATATATCCCTCACACAAACAATGACAGGATATATCCCTCACACAAACAATGACAGGATATATCCCTCACACAAACAATGACAGGATATATCCCTCACACAAACAATGACAGGATATATTCCTCACACAAACAATGGCAGGATATATCCCTCACACAAACAATGACAGGATATATTCCTCACACAAACAATGACAGGATATATCCCTCACACAAACAATGACAGGATATATTCCTCACACAAACAATGGCTGGATATATCCCTCACACAAACAATGACAGGATATATTCCTCACACAAACAATGACAGGATATATCCCTCACACAAACAATGACAGGATATATTCCTCACACAAATAATGCCAGGATGTATTTTTGCCACAAACAATGGCTGGGTGTACACTTGGAGTCACATTCCACACACATACAATAACAATATCAAGAAAGGTCTGTCCTGTTAAAAATAGAGGAGACATTATAATGGAGACAGTTGTTACTTAGTAACATACGTTTTAAACAATAAACCTTTACCTGTGAGAAAATAATGATAACTAATTATTGTACAATGACTTTTGTTATTTTATGTGGGAGTTTAACTGTTTCTGTGACTATGTTTATCTATGTGCTTGAACTTGTATTTGTTGTTATTTTAGTTGTTCCATAATGTGAATGACTGTGTTACAGTATATACTGGCCTGTCTGTAGGCATATGTTAATGTGTGTGTGTGTAGATGCGTGTGTGTGTAC